TGCCATGCATGTTCCCTCAAACTGGAAAGATTAAAAATATATAGATGAAATCATTTAATACGCTTAAAAATACATACATAGAGTTAACAGTAATAAGTTTTTTCATAAAACTAGCGATTATACAATATTTACAGTGAAATCGTCAAGTAGTAAGCTGCCGATAAATTTATAATACATTGGACATTGAAAAAGTTACTTTTTAAATCTAGTGAAGTTTTGAAACCTTTGAATATTTAAAACTTTCAAAATATACCATATACCTACTGTTATAATACAGCTTCCCAAATCAAATAATTACTTCGAAAAAATATAATGATTTTACAACTTATGTAGATGTGAAAATACCGAACCAAACAACAAATCAAATTTAAATTTCAGAATTTTTGCGTTTTTCTTTGTTCGATTTGGTGTCATTTTTGTTCTGCTAACTGTCTAAGTTTATTTAACGAAGCGGAAACAATAAATTATGAAAACGTATATTTCACATAAAAATTAAGGCACCATTTGCGTTTCAGTTAGCCACTATTGCTGAAAAACACATTTTTAGTGTTCTCCAATTTCAGTGATGAAAGTACCTAGCCTGTAAATTTTGATCATCTTTTTGCCCCTTAATACACCATTCCAGTTAAAGCCTTATAGGCTAAATTAAATTTAACAGTTGACCAATATTTCCCCAACAATACCGTTTTTAACTACTGAGTTAACGTATTTAATATTAAATATGATAAAAAACTAAACATACTATTATCATTAAGTTCAAGCTTTCGTGGTTGCTCCTTGGAAAAGATCCCCGTTTTGATATTTTTGGTTTAGATTCAATCACATAGGTTATCTGGCAATTCATGGTCATTATCTATGGGCTCATACATTTACGAAACTGTAATTCTGTTTGTCTTCAAGAACCAAAATAAATATAAATGAAATACGAACCATAAATATTACGTTACTAGATTAGTCATCATCTATTTCCCAATAGATAACTTGAGATTAACTGTAAAGAGTCTCCACTACATGGGTGCTATAAACTATACTATAAACTTGATAATACAATAAGAAGTTTCACTGCAGAAAAACATTTAAAGATAAAATTTAATACATAAGTTAATGTGGCGTGATGGAATTTGAATGTAAATAAAGGCTAGTGAAAAATGCTACTCTGATTTTTTGCTAGTCTGATCTAAGGTATATACCTTACACAATGACAAGAAAAGGGAGGATAATCTCCAATTATTCTTTTAGTACTACTCGCTTTTTAAGACATAAAACGATAAATTTAATTAGTGGATATGGTTAAGGTCTGGTTTCCCTATTATACCGGGTGTCAATTTGAAAACTTCCCACCCTTAATATCTTTCATGCAGTTGAAAATATGAAAAATCTGAAAGATTCGTCGACCCTAGGACGGGTAGATGTCACCCTTATAATCTTATATATTATATGTTATTTATATAATTATATATAAAATGGGAAGGGGGGTCAAGTGCCACATCGATATAAAGGGCGTTCAATCTTTACATGAGTTATTACTTTGTTAGGTTTTCCGATTATATTTTTCCGACATATTTTTAACTGCGAGAAAGATGATAAGGGTGGGATGTTTTCAAATTGACACCCGGTATTATTTAAAGGACAACCTTAAACTACTAAAACGTTTGAAATACAGACTAAATCGTTATAGGCAAATGAAACAGCGTATTCGGCTTTCATGATTACGATTGCAATTCAGGTTCATTCAACGAGTCAGATTGTATAAAGGAGTTTTGGGCATATTTGAGGCCCAATAATAAGTGCGACAATGAAATAATTAAGTAACCGATCATTAAATTTCATGCGCGGTGCATTAAATGATATAATGATTAGTGAATATTTTTATCGTTTTCTCAGCAAACATCCGCATTATTTCCTAACTAGTATTTACAATTCAGATTAACTACTAGTTTCGAATACGTAAAGCTCTATCACCCATTATTGCTTTAGCTTTAGTTTAACTTGGCTTATAAGAATACAGATGTCTTAATTTTAGGAGTTTCTAATGCAGTTTTGTCTAGAAGCTGCCTAGTTGCTAGGTTTGTGCCATTTTTGATTATCTAATGATAGCAACGTGTAAAACATATCTCCACCCCAATTTATAAGGTACAAACAAGGAAAAAAACTATTCAATCGAAACAGCATATTCTTAAGGAGTTAGCCCAACTCGCAAATTTTTCAATTTTTTAAGTCAACGGGAGATTCTTCAAAATTCACCACTCGTTTTTTATGATTACGAGTGCTAATAATAATGAATACTGACTCATTTATTTTCTATATTCCAGCTGGACGCTAATATGGAATAGATTGCTAATTTTTTATTATTCTTGAGCATGTTCCCCAGACAAACCTATATCTCGTAGTCCAGCTGCGATGTGGTCCACTAAGGGTTCATCTTCAGGTACGTCAGGATGTTTGTATCCAGTGAGAAAATGACAGGTCCCCTTGATATTTCCGGGAAAGTCTTTGGGAAGGCAAGAGGGATCGCGGGCTTCGAATGAAAATCCAGAAACCGCAAGTAGTCTCCTGCAATTTAAAATTATTGAAATCAAATGAACCCGAAATGTGAACAAATAGATATTTTCTAAGTATTTTCTTATATAAGGTATAATTTTTCTGGAACATAGTTCAAAGTCGAACATAGTATTTTATTATTAGGCGAACATTTATTTCTGGCAAAATTGCCACCTCGTTCATTTCAATTCAAATCAATCAATCATTAAAATTTGGCATCATGCTTTATAATTATCCTATTTTGGTACTGAGGTTCGTCACAATAACAGTTGCTTGTTCGTTGTCTAGTTCGTTTATTTTCATTGCATTTTTATGGAGAAGTTTTCTACTGCTTGCCGGTGCAATGGTTTCAGTTGTTGGGGTTACATACCTCATCAGCATAAAACATCTTGAATATGTGCGTATTTACAGCTTTTAATTATATTTTCTATTTTGTTGCTTACTAGAACCGCTACTCCAGTCGCCTTATTTTTTTCCGTAAGAAAAAGTTGTTTCTTTTGCCTTTTTGCATTTACCTATTTCACTGGCGTATTTCATTGCTGCTAATGTGTCTATTTTGAGTTATTGCATTTTGGTACATTTATTCGTTTAATTGTACGTTTTTAATACAAAATTTGCTAATAGAAATTTTAATATTAGTAAACCTTAATAGCTATTAACATATATGTATATGGCTAAATCTTTTGTCAACCATTGTCCATCCATTCCTGGATGTAGGTCTCTTCTAATTGTTCCATCTTTCATTTCATTTTCTTTCAATGTGTTTCGCAAATATCATCCACTGTTTTGCCTGCCACTGCCCTTAACTTGCTCCTTGTTGTCTCACTTCGCCTCCATTCCAGTATTATACGCGTCCCTCAGTTTTCTTCGTATCTGGATATACGACCAGCTCATCGCCATTTCATCTTTGCCACCTCCTCCACGATGTGGGACTTTAGTTTTACATCTTATCTCCTTGTTTCTAATTTTGTCTCTTTCCGTTTCCGTTTCATCGCCCTTTGGCTTTTGAATTTGGCCTTTCATCGCACTTGAAGGACATAGTCTCTACTCCGTAGGTGCACATCGGTAATACGCAAGTGTCGTATCCTTTTCTTTTTAGATTTATGGCAATATAATTATTTTTCAGGATATATACAGGGTGTCCCAAAAGTAATGACACAAAACAAAATGGTGGATTCCTGGGGTGAAAATATGGTGATTTAACACAACTTACCTTAGTCCGAAAGTTGACGGTTGCCGACATACGTCAAAGCTACATTTTAATTTCAGTTTTTCGTTATTCTACATTGAACGGAGCTACATATTTTAACGAAATTTGGTATACAGGGGTTTTTGTGTATAAGAAATCTAAATCTCTCATCAGACTTTAATCAACTTGTAGAAAAAACCACTTACGGCGATATCTGGGCAAAAAATTGTTTCAACTTTTTGGTCACCCGGTATTCTGACTAATCGCCTATTMATTTGGTACAAAAAAGGTATTCTTAGTCGATGTCCAAACAAGCCTCTGTTKCCGAGATATTTGCGATTACACCGCAAAATGCAGTATTTTCAAAAAATAATCCACAATAAGTATCTAAGTGAAAAAATATTCATCATCATTCTTTAACAGTAGGATCTTTTTGTCTTAATCACTAACAATAAAACATTCATTTTCTACAGCAATTGCTCAAAATGTCCCCCCGTTAACTTCAATACATTTTGAAATGCGTTTATTGAGGAATCGTCTATTTTAAAAAACCATATTTTTATTTCGAAATCATTCGGCGGCATTCATAATTTTATTTATAAACTCATCTCGGGTGCCTACCGTTTGATTGTACACTAATGATTTTAAATAACCCCAAACACAAAAATCTAATGGGTTAAAGTCAGGACTTCGCGCCGGCCAAGCCCAAGAACTTACAGGTAATTAGGTAATTACTAACGGCTCTAGCAAAATCGTCCTCTAATAAATTCTGTACCGCCGTAAAATGGCAAGGATGGAGATTTTCGTGCTGAAAAATCCTATGAACTGAAGACTTGCTTACGCCAGTTGCAGTTTCCAATTGTCTTGTGCTTATTTCTTTTTCCAACACGGACTTTCTCCAACACGAACCAGAACGTCTTCTGATTCTCTTGATCTGGAGTTGAAATTTTCGGACGTCCCAAGATACTAACTTTGGTCCTAAAGTTTCCCTTAATGGACGGTAGATGTCTCCGAATAACTTGAAATTCGGTTGCCTCCTATTGGGATACAATTCTAAGTAACGCAGTTTGGCACTGCGTCCACTAAAATTTTGCTGGACTAAAAAATTATACCTTGGCATTTTAACTGATTGAAACCAAAACTTAAGTATGTAGTGGCACTAGTGTCACTTTGACAGACACCAAGTAAATACGTGTCGCTACGTCAAACTACTTGACATGCATTGTAAAATGTCCTCACAATTCTGCATTTTGCAGTTTAATCGCAAAAATCTCGGAAACAGAGGCTTGTTGGGACATCGCCTAAGAATACCGTTTTTGTGCAAAATTAATAGACGATTAGACGCAACCAGTTTAGAAATCAGAATACCGGGTGACCAAAAAGTTAAAACATTTTTTTTCCCCAGATATCGCCGCAAGTAGCTTTTTCTACAAGTTGATCAAAATCTGATGGGACAATTATACAAAACCCCCTGTGTACCAAATTTCGTGAAAATATGCAGCTCCGTTCAAAGTAGAATAACAAAAACTGAAATTAAAATGTATGTTTGACGCCGAGTATGTCGGCAACCGTCAACTTTTGGACTAAGGTAAGTTGTGTTAAATCATCATATTTTCACCCCAGGAATCCGCCATTTTGTTTTGTGCCATTACTTTTGGGACACCCTGTATGTATGTAAGTTTACCGAAAGCGGCCCATGCTAGTTGTGTTTTTCTTTTTATTTCAGTATCCTGGTTTGATTTACCTAATCTGATGTCATGGCCTAAGTTCGATGTTTTCTATAGTATGGTTCTGTATTGTCAAGTTTGTCTGTTCGTGGTTCATTATTTTTGTTCTGCTATAGTTCATTTCGTTTAATTCTTGAGATGATTTAAGTATACTCCGTCCATGTTTACACCTTTGGCGTCCCATTTTAATTTTTTTAAAATGTCTTCCAGTACGAGAGTGAATAGTTTGCGCGAGATAGTGCCTCACTTTTCGTTGCAGTTTTATGGGGTTTGTTTTTGTTTCATCGTCCAGTTTTGTTCTATGCTTGCATTACCGTAGATGTTCTTCTTGATGTTCGTATATTAGTAACGCCATTTCCATTTGAAAAGAATTGATTTTGGGCGGTTTTTTCAACGTCATTTTTAAAGTTGTTTTTTAACACTTGGATTAATAGTTATTTAAATTTTATCGAAATTCGATTAAAATAAGTCTATTTACAGGCGGTATATTCAAACTTTAAGTCGGTCTAGGCACATATTACACTGAAGATGACAAATTTGTGCCGATCTTCCTAAATGATAATTTTTGTTGTTTCTGAACTTCCTAAAGTTAATTAGTAACGCAAAGTGCTTGTTTAATGGACGAATTGGGGTTACAAGCATAATTATTATTAAAAGCCGGTTTCGTGACTTGAGGGTATATTAGGTTTGGGTCATAAAATTCTAAGATCGTTTAAGAGGTACTCGTAAAATTAAATCGTGAAAGTTGTATTGCGAGTTTGCCAAGATATGGGAAGCTATAATTTACTAATTATGACTTTGCTCACTACTAAAGGACGATGAGAAAATAGCTATGACACCTTGGACAATATTGGCAAACAGTCTTCAATTAGTTGGAACCAGAGCTTAGCAAGCAATTTGATCGAACTAATTGATTCTGTTTCCATGAAATAGTATGAACTGGATGCAAACAATAATGGTGTTCGGCGTAACGATCCAAACTAAGTAATAATAAGTACATTATTTGCCTGCACCATAGGCATCAACGATTGTGTTAATTATTTTCCAAAAGTTAAGTTATGTCCCATGTTAAGTTGTATGTTAAGTTAAAAATACGGTATCGACAGCCTTGGAAATCTTGAAACAAAATGCATTTTAAATTATTCTGATAATTTTATATACATACGGGGTGATTCAAAATTGGCGTCATTCCTCTGGAGGTGTTGTTTGGCGCTGTTATAGGAGTGCAGAAAAAATAGTAAAATAAATTAATTGTTTTTCAAGGTAATCTCCCTAACATTGGGCAAATACCTGTTACTTCGTAATTATTGAAAACTCCGGTAACCATGGAATTATACAGAGTGACAATAAGATAGACAAGGATAAACGGTAAATTCAACGTCAAAGATTTGTTGACTGAGGAACGTACTTTCGAAATGTCAACCTGTTCTCATAACCTCAAATTCTGCGGGGTTTGGTGTTTACAAAATTTGTAATTTAATAATCCATACAACACCAAACATTTGAATGGTTATCGCCAAGCAAGCTAGTGCCTGTGTAAT